TAATCCTAATACAGTAAATAAGATGTTAAAATGAAGTTATTAGAAAACTTGGCGTGCAATTACGTTAAGCCTGTGCTATAAGTTAGGATTAGATCAGTGAATGTATGGGTTGGGATAATAAATACAGATGAAGGTCGTTCTAGCTAGGGATGGGATAGAAGAATCAAAGTGTTGAAAAAAAAAAGTTAACGTGGTTGCATCTTATAGGCTGAAATTTTAAGGATATGTATTGGAGACTCTTAATCCTTTTCAAGGTACCAAACTCCATCACTCACATTTGCTAATTCATCGAAGTCTATTAATAGTTTTATCGTTCGCATTGACTTAATCCGATCGTGAATGCAAAGCAACGCAAAGCAACGCAAAGCAACGCAAAGCAACGCAAAGCAACGCAACGCAAAGCAATGCAAAGCAATTTCTACTTCCATTCTACGGAAATTATTCAAAATTCAAGATCTTTTACTTACATGTGAAATGCCATTTATCTATCTGAAATAGTATTAAAGTTATGGGCTTTAAAATTTTTAAAGTAGAAAAAGTTCCACTTCCTGTTATTGTAAATCGCTCAAAAGTTGATATTATACTTATAAATGAAATTTCATCAGCCTAGCTGTAACGGTGCTCAAATTATCGTGTTTACCCACACACACATATATCAACGCATACACACACCCAGATATACGGACTTATGTTTTTCCCACTCCGGGAGCTGTAAAATTGCAAATTGTAAAAATCACAATTTTGTTTGCACGATTACAAGATTTTCTCTATACTTCTGTTGTGTTTTAGTAGTGGATTATGTTCTCTGGGTAGGTGGATTTTAATTAATTTGTACTGATTAATTGTGTATGCGGAAAGTCAACCCACATCAACTCCATGTCTTGTGTTTTTAATCAGTGACATTCAATCTGTGTTATTCACCAATTGTCATTCATTCCAGGTGTTATTGATAAAGATCTTGAGAACCTCTGACACGTAGACGGATTTGGGCTTTAGGGCTTAAAAGACATTCCACACACAGAGCTATAGCTGATAGTTTTCAATATCCACATCATTTAAGCCATAGATCCTCAGTTACAAGCTATACGAAGCATCCACTTTAACTCAGTTTTAAACATCTTGATTCTATTATCCATCAGCTAGCTTTGATAACCTTAATCTGTATTGATTAGCCAAACACCCACGTCGACAACATAATCCTAATACAGGTTCTGTTTGTTTACATGTTAAGTTTTTTAACACCTTCATTTTGACATGTCATTTAGTGTTGCAGGATTACATTAGCAAATAAATAGACTTAATTATAAAGGTCATTTGTATATTACTAATTAAACTGTTAAAAAAAGATTCGCGATAGGTAGAGACTGCTATCTATCCCAAATAGGTATAGCTAACATGAGTATGGTGTAATACAGTCCTTAGTGCGTATATTAATCGATCGTTCTAATCCTATTTTTTGTGTAGCTAGCATTTTTTTTCAAAATGAAAAGCAATCACATTTTATGTCCCGTCCCCCTACCTCGTAACTAAATCTTTGAAATCGTGGAATTTTACAAACGGTTCCAAAGTTTAAACAGTTTAAGTTGACAGCAAATGTGTTTTGCAACAGTTCTTGTTATCCATCATCCGTTTAGCATGTGTTCGAGATGTGGGTTAAAAACTAATGGTCTTGAGAGTAGCTGTCAGCTAGAGACTCAAACAATAGCTGTCAGCTAAAGGACCCAGAGAGTAGCTGTCAGCTAGAGACTCAAACAATAGCTGTCAGCTAAAGGACCCAGACAGTAGCTGTCAGCTAAAGACCCAGCCAGTAGCTGTCAGCTAGACACCACAAAGAAAAACGCTGCAGCTAAACACCCAGTTAGCAACTGTCAGCTAGAGCGACAGTAGCTGTCAGTTAGAGACCAAGATAGTAGATGTCAGCTAGAGACCCAGACAGTAGATATCAGCTAGAGACCCAGACAGTAGCTGATAGCTTGACAACCAGTTAGCTACTGTCAGCTAGAGCGACAGTAGCTGTCAGGTAGAGACGAAGACAGTAGCTGCCAGCTAGAGACGCAGACAGTAGCTTTCAGCTAGAGACCCAGACAGTAGCTGTTAGCTAGACACCAAGAACGTTGCTGCAGCTAGACAACCAGACAACTACTGTCAGCTGCAGATCAAGACAGTACCTAACGGATAGAGACCAATACAGTACCTATTAGCAATAAGCCGGAGTTATAAGAATACGCTTTAAATTACATAAATGGTTATTGAACTAGGTTTTTATTTTTAATCACTAAATTAAAACATTGTTGACGTTTCTAATCAGAAAATAAAATATCTTGATCTTGGCAATGTGACCTACATGTCGACGAGGTTTAAAAGTTCATAAGTTCGCCACGTATACAGTTGTTGTTTGATGTAATCTAATGTCATTTACCTCCCACGTATATATTCTCCAGCTATACCGTTCATCTCCCAGCTATACAGTCTCAATATACAGTTTTAGTCTCCATCTCCCAGCTATATTCCCCTCCCAGCTATACAGTCTCCACGTCCGAGCTATACAGCACCCATCACTTTGATATATAGTCCCCAGATCATAGCTACACAATTTCTCTTCCAGCTATAATCTTTAGTTCCAAGTGATACAAGTTTTATTTTTCTTTATCTTAATAGTCAAGAAATATTTTTGTGCTAAAAGAAATAACCGTTATTATCTTCCACAGCAAATTACTATCTTCGTAAGTTAATCTGCCCTCTTACAAAAGTAATCCAGCCTCCCTTAGATTAAGTTTAGTAATAACTGCACCAATGATGAGATAAGACAAAGCCAGTCCTAGATATAGCCCTACCAGTGATGAAATTAGAAAACATTAGTGCTAGGTATAGGCCTACCAATGATGAGATTTGTGCTAGCTATAGGGCCGATCAATGACATAAGACTGTAGCTGTCAGCTAGAGAAACAGACAATAGCTGTCAGCTATAGGCCTAGACGGTAGCTACCAGCTAGACACAAAGATAGTAGCTGCCAGCTAGGTTCAAAGACTGTAGCTGTCAGCTAGAGACCCAGACAGTAGTTTTCAGCTAGAGACCCAGACGGTAGCTACCAGCTAGACACAAAGATAGTAGCTGCCAGCTAGATTCAAAGACTGAAGCTGTCAGCTAGAGACCCAGACAGTAGCTGTCAGCTAGACACCAAAAACTTTTCTGCAGCTAGACATCCAGACAGCTACTGTCAGCTAGAAAGACAGTAGCTGTCAGCTACAGACCAAACCATTACCTGTCGGATAGTGACAAATGCAGTAAAATTCAGCAATAAGCCTTTGCTATATGAATAAGCTTTAAATTACAAAAAACGGTTATTGTACTAGGTTTTTATTTTTAATCACTAAATTAAAACATGGTTTGACGTGTCTAATCCGAAAATAAAATCTCTTGACCTTGTCAATGTCACCTATATGTCGACGAGGTTCAAACGTTCCTGAGGTCACCACGTATATAGTTTTTATTTGATGTAATCTAATGTCAGTGACCTCCCACTTATGCATTCTCCAGCTATACTGTTCATCTCCCAGCTATACAGTCTCAATATCCCAGTTATAGTCTCCATCTCCCAGCTATATTCCCCTCCCAGCTATACAGTCTCCACGTCCGAGCTATACAGCACCCATCTCTGATATAAAGTTGCCAGATCATAGCTACAAAGTTTCTCTTCCAGCTATATTCTTTAGTTCCAAGTTATACAAGTTTTATTTATAGTCAAGAGAGTTTGGTGCTAAAAGAAATAACCGTTACGATCTTCCACAGCAAATTACTTTCTTCGTAAAGCTAATCTGCCTTGTTACAAAAGTAATCCAGCCTTACTTAGATTAAGTTTAGTTCTTTCTGCACCAATGATGAGATAAGAAAAAGCCAGTGCTAGATATAGGCCTACAAGTGATGAGATAAAATAAACTTAGTGCTAGGTATAAGCCTTCCAATAATGATATAAAACAACGCTAGTGCTAGATATAGGCCTACCAATGACATAAAGACAGTAGCTGTCAGATAAAGACCCAGACTGTAGCTACTAGCTAGACACCAAGACAGTAGCTGCCAGCTAGACACAAAGACAGTAGCTGTCATCTAGACACAAAATAGTAGCTATCAGCTATAGACCCAGACAGTAACTGTCTGCTAGAATCAAAGAAATTTGCTGCAGCTAGACACCAAGACAGCAGCTGTAACCTAGAGACCCAGACAGTTGCTGCAGCTAGACACAAGATAGTAGCTGTCAGCTAGACTCTTAGACATTAGCTGTCAGCTAGACACCAAAACAGATGCTGAAGCTGGACTCCCAGCCATTAGCTGTAAGCTTAAGATCCTGACAGTACCTGACGGATAGAGACCAATACAGTAGCTATCAGCAATAAGCCGGAGCAATAAGAATAAGCCTTAAATTACAAAAACAATTATTGAAATAGGTTTTTTATTTGTAATCACTAAATTAAAACATGGTTTGACATGTCTGATCCGAAAAAAAACCCATTCATTTCTCCTTGTCAAAGTGACATATATGTCGACGAGGTTCAAAAGTTCATAAGTTCGCCACGTGTATAGTTGATATATGATGTAATATTATGTCATTTACCTACAAGTCTCCAGCTATACTGTCCATCTCCCAACTACACAGTCTCAATATCCCAGTTATAGTCTCCATCTCCCAGCTATATTCCCCTCCCAGCTATGCAGTGTCCACGTCCGAGCTATACAGCACCCATCTCTTTGATATATAGTCCCCAGATCATAGCTACACAGTTTCTCTACCATCTATACTCTTTATTTCCAAGTGAAACAAGGTTTATGTATATTAATCTTGATAGTCAAGTGAGTTTGGTGCTAAAAGAAATAACCATCTTCCACAGCAAATTATTATCTTCGTAAAGCTAATCTGCCCTCTTACAAAAGTAATCCAGCCTCAATTAGATTAAGTTTAGTGCTAACTGCACCAATGATGAGATAAGACAAGCCAGTGCTAGCTATATGCCTACCTATCATGAGATAAGACAACCTTAGTGCTAGATATAGGCCTACCAATGATGCCATAAGACAACGCCAGTGCTAGCTATAGGCCTACCTATCATGAGACAAGACAACCTTAGTGCTAGATATAGGCCTTCCAATGATGAGAGTAAACTACGCCAGTGCTAGATATAGGCCTATCAATGACAGAAGTCAACACCAGTGCTAGCCTTACCAGTGATATGATTAGAGCCATACAGCTAGATTGATAAAAAACAAAAAAAAAACACCAAAAACAAGGACTAGACCAATATATTTAGAATTAGAGTTAGTTTACCGGATTGGTTGAAATGGTTGAGCATCTCTGACCACGTGGCGTCACGTGGTGTCTCAATTACAGTTAAGTAGAGCCCCTCTTGAGGTCAGCTTGCTGTTGTCGTCACTCATTCTCTCTAAGAACGGTAGGTCTTTTTAACATTGACAATAGGGACTGTCGGACTTTTACACGTTAAAAAACGAAACAGAAATAGTTTATGTTGAGACTTTTTGAATCGTTAGCACACTACACACAAACACACACACACACACACACACACACACACATATATATATATATATATATATATATATATATATATATATATATATATATATATGATGAAACTATGCTTGTAATCCTGTTCATTGTTTGACAGTTTACTTGGCTGTAGAACGTAGCTCTCAGTTATGCATCTCTACGTGTTGATCATATCGCTGCTGCTGCCGGCTTCTACCTTGTCCAACCCAGGTGATGTAACATACTTTAACAGCGAAACAGAGTAGTGGCCATTTTTAAAACGCGTGAAAATTAATGTAGAAAAGAAAAGCCATTACAGAGGAACGTAAATTGGGTTTATATATATATATATATATATATATATATATATATATATATATATATATATATATATATATATATATATATATATATATATATAAAGATATATATATATATATATATATATATATATATATATATATATATATATATATATATATATATATATATATTTATATATATGTATCAGCGGATCAGGGTTTTTGTGTGTGAGGGGAGGGGTTAAAGCAAGATCAAGCTATCCCCTCTGACATTGACGATCTTCGGGTTAGAAGAAACAGTTCATCTGTTTCTATTGACTCGACGTATAAAGAGATAAAGTGGTCAGTTTTGTATCCAGTCGTCTTTACGCTCCCTCATATAAGCCTGGTATTTGCCTGCTTTAAAAGCGATTGACAGGGGTTTGTTTGGATATGTTGAAGGTGGTATCACGCCAGTTGACATAAATGACCCTCAAGTTCAAGTAGCTCTCAAATTTGCCGTCAACGAATACAACATGATGATAAACTGTGCCTTTTGGGTAATCGAAGAGTCCGTTGCAAATGTCACAGAACAGGTTTGTGTTTTTTTTTTAAATAAATAATTAAATAAAATAATTTGTCATTAAACATTTTATTGCTGTAATTTTTTAAACAGTTTAGTCAATAAACTGGGTGTTATACATTGAATTAGACAGTGTTGTTTTATGTCCTCATTGTAATATTTTACACGGAAAAAAAGGTTATTTGAGATTTATTGTTTGTAATGCCGTGTATGCGTCCAGTTAAGATGAGCGATGCAGAGAAAATATATTGTTATTCTGTATGTCGCAACAATCCATCGAGACTTTTATAAAATGTTGATTTTTGTCTACACCAACCATCATTTGCAGACTGATGTAAAATATTGATTCTGTATACCTCAACCATCATTTGCAGGTTGTTGCAGGCATGCTCTTCCGTTTCTATGGCGTTGTATTTGTACCAACCGTTTGCAGGAAAATGGCACCCTTTGACCCAAAAAATTGCCCTGTTGCTGAACATCCAACGGTGAGTGTACACTCTATACATTTGTACTTTACTGTTAGTTAATCTAATGTATTTACTTGTACTTTTGTTTTTAAAGAGAACAACATGTGATTTTCAAGTACTGTTAGGAATTAAAGACAAAAAGGAGTTGTCTCATCTTGATTGCGTAAGCATGTTTACTCCTTTATTCATATTCTTGTTTAAGATCAAATAATTTAAATGCATAAAAATATATATGCATATATATATATATATATATATATATATATATATATATATATATATATATATATATATATATATATATATATATATATATATATATATATATATATATATATACATACATATATATATATACATACATATATATATATATATATATATATATATATATATATATATATATATATATATATATATATATATATATATATATAAATATATTATATATATATATGTATATATACATATATATATATATATATATATATATATATATATATATATATATATATATATGTATATAAATATATATATATATGTATATATATATGTATATATATATGTATATATATATATATATATATATATATATATATATATATATATATATATATATATATACATATATATATATTTATGAATATATATTTATGAATATATATATTTATATATACATATACGTATATATATATATATATATATATATATATATATATATATATATATATATATATATATATATATATATATATATATATATATATTGTTAAGCTTAGTTGACGTTTTATAGTGGAACAAGGTATAACACAATTTAAAACACAGTTCAAATGTAATAATCCAATATAATTTTCACTACAACAGAGAAACAGTGAACATTCACGAAAACACTGACTACAGGCTACCCTAAGTTGTCGATACTACACACTGCTTACACACTCGAGTTCACACACTTGTTAGGGGAGGCCACTCTCACACCCAATCTCTCCGTGCCTACACGCTTTCGCTTTGAACATCTAGGCCACGTCACACCTCCCCCCTAAAAAAAGAGGTTTCTTATTTTTCTTTAAATTAAACAGCATTTCTAAGGTCTATCCTGCACAACTACTTAACATGTACAGTAAAAATTTTAACAAAATATTTATCTGACCTTTTACATGCTTTAAATCTCCCTATAAATAAATGTTGGCGAGTAAAAATTATATATCTACAGTAAAATGTTGGACGTACGCATGAATTAACTACTTATAGCTTTATACGTCTAGTCTATAAGTCAACAAGGTTTTTAAAAAACATTTGTCATCAATAAAGCATTTGAATTGAATTACAATACATCAGAACAATGTTACTTTCCTTTCGTTTTCTGAAGTTAGATATGTTGAAATAAATCTAGTCAATGATGACAATGAAAACTAGAAGCTATTCATATAATACAAGTTCGTACACCACTCTAATTTTGGTACAGTCTTTGGCTCTGGATGTCGATCTGGATCTCGCTCTGGCTTTGGCTCTGGCTCTGGTTTCGGCTCTGGCTCTGGTTTTGGCTCTGGCTCTGGTTGTGGCTCTGGCTCTGGTTTTGGCTCTGGCTCTGGTTTTGGCTCTGGCTCTGGTTGTGGCTCTGGCACGGGCTCTGGCACGGGCTCTGGCACGGGCTCTGGCACGGGCTCTGGCTCTGACTTTGGCTCTGGCACTGGCTCTGGCACTGGCTCTGGCACTGGCTCTGGCTCTGACGTTGGCTCTGGCTCTTCTGCTCAGCTCTGGCGTCCAAACATTTTTGTTTCGATCCTGCTATCTTGACATCACAGTCTTTAACTATAATTAAAGTCTCATTAGTATCTTTAAAAAGACTATGAACTTGATACTGGATTAAAGTTACCTTCTGCTCAGCTGCCCTTGACCTAGTTCTCCACTCTGTTGACTTGTTGCCTAGATTGCGTGTCTGGTTGACTAGGTCTTCTGCAAGTGGGGCAGTAGCTAGAGCTTTCATGTTGGTGGCGACGCACTGATTTGCTTCTGATGTGATCAAGGACTGAGATGCTAATATTGTAGCTCTAAAATTTTGTATCTTACTTGCTATGCTAATGTAGTCCACTTTGTAGCTAGCAAGTTTCCTCAACTTCTCTCCTAGTTTTATCACTGTATTTTCAATTTCATTATTTATGGCCATGATGTCTGCAGCACTGTTAACAAGTTTTTGGCTGTTGATACTAAGTCTTTTCCGTCGGCGATGACTGCTGCCGTTAATACTAGATGTTTTCTAGTCGGCTGTGACGATGCCGTTGATACGAGATAGTTTCTAGTCGGCTGTAACGCTGCCGTTAATACTAGATAGTTTCTAGTCGGCTGTAACGATGCCGTTAATACTAGAAATTTTCCCGTCGGTTGTGACACTGCCGTTGATACTAGAAATTTTCCAGTCGGTTGTGACGCTGCCGTTGATACTAGACACTTCCCAGTCGGCTGTAACGATGCCGTTAATACTAGATGTTTTCTAGTCGGCTGTAACGATGCCGTTAATACTAGCAAGTTTCTAGTCGGTTGTGACGCTGCTGTTGATACTAGACATTTTCAAGTCGGTTGTGGCGCTGCCGTTGATACTAGACACTTTCCAGTCGGCTGTAACGATGTCGTTAATACTAGATGTTTTCTAGTCGGCTGTAACGCTGCCGTTAATACTAGAAAGTTTCTAGTCGGTTGTGACGCTGCTGTTGACACTCGATATTTTTCATGTCGGCTCTAACGCTGCTGTTGATACTGGATATTTTCCTTTTTGTCTAGGGGTAAAAACTTCTCAAAAATCTTGTTGTGTTCAAATCCCGGACTTAAGCCCTCACTTGTTATGGTTAGCTTTCCATTTCATAGTGGAACAAGGTATAACACAATTTAAAACACAGTTCAAATGTAATAATCCAATATAATTTTCACTACAACAGAGAAACAGTGAACATTCACGAAAACACTGACTACAGGCTACCCTAAGTTGTCGATACCACACACTGCTTACACACTCGAGTTCACACACTTGTTAGGGGAGGCCACTCTCACACCCAATCTCTCCGTGCCTACACGCTTTCGCTTTGAACATCTAGGCCACGTCACAATATATATATATATATATATATATATATATATATATATATATATATATATATATATATATATATATATATATATATATATATCGTATTTAGTAATTTTTTTATATTTTGTTTTCTAGAAACATTGATCTATTATAAAAAAAGGTTGGACATAGATCCATGGCGAACGAAAACTTTTTGGCCAAATAAACTCTGCATTATAAAAAAAACATTTTTTTCTTATGTTGTATGTGTGCAGATTTACTATTATGATAAACTATAATAACTTTGATCTTCAAAATATCTGGCATAGTACAAAAATCACGCAGAAAAGATAAAAACACATAGTACCAAAAACCACGCAGAAAAGATAAAAACACAAGGCGTTGAGGTGCGGTGCTTTTGACTTTCCTGGAACAAAATTTATCAGTAGAAATTAATTAAAATTCACCCACCTAGAGAACATAAGCGATCACTCAAGTTACAAAAGAGCATAATAAACTACAAGAATAACATAACAGTCTCCCACCGAAGAAGTCATGCTGTTCTGTTGAGATTTTCCGGGTATAACTGAGAAATAAAAATGGTATAAATGGGATATGGGGACTTTAGAACTGGGAAATGGAGAATATAGTTGGGTGAGAGACTGCATAGCTGGGATATGAGGACTTTATACCAGGGAGATTGTGACTGTATTGTTCGGACGTGTAGACTGTATAGATTGGAGGTGAGTATAGCTGGGAGGTGGACACTATTACTTGTATGTTGAGGCTATAGCTGTGAGATGGACGTTATAACTTGTATGATGAGGCTATAGCTGAGAGATGTTATGACTGTATAGCTGTGAGATGGGCGCTATAACTTGTATGTTGAGGCTATAGCTGCGAGATGGACGCTATAACTTGTATGTTGAGACTGGATATCTGTGAGATGGACGCTATAACTTGTATGTTGAGGCTATAGCTGCGAGATGGACGCTATAACTTGTATGTTGAGGCTATAGCTGTGAGATGGACGCTATAACTTGTATGTTGAGGCTATAGCTGTGAGATGGACGCTATAACTTGTATGTTGAGGCTATAGCTGTGAGATGGACGCTGTAACTTGTATGTTGAGGTTATAGCTGTGAAATGTACGCTGTAACTTGTATGTTGAGGTTATAGCTGTGAAATGTACGCTATAACTTGTATGTTGAGATTGTATAGCTGTGAGATGGACGTTATAACTTGTATGTTGAGACTGTATAGCTGTGAGATGGACGCTATAACTTGTATGTTGAGGCTATAGCTGTGAGATGGACGCTATACCTTGTATTTTATGACTTTATAACTGGGAGACGGACTATGTAACTTGTATGTTGAGGCTATAGCTGTGAGATGGACGCTATAACTTGTATGTTGAGGCTATAGCTGTGAGATGGACGCTGTAACTTGTATGTTGAGGCTATAGCTGTGAGATGGACGCTGTAACTTGTATGTTGAGGCTATAGCTGTGAGATGGACGCTATAACTTGCATGTTATGACTTTATAACAGGGAGATGGACTATGTAACTTGTATATTGAGACTGCATAGCTGAGAGATGGACAGTATAGCTGGAGACTACATAGCTGGAATGTAAATGACATTAGATGACGATAAATAACAACTATATACGTGTCGACCGTATGAGTTTGTTAAGCACTTGCACATGTGGTTTACATTCACAAGGTCAAACGAATGTTAATTTCGATTAGAGGATTAGCCGTCTCCAGTATTAGCTATATACGGACGAGCAAATTCTAGCTGAACCAAAGAAGAGAAAGATAGAAACCTGCATCAAGAACAAAATGTCCAACAGAGTTTCATTTGCTATTAGACAAATGGCCTTTATCAATCTCCCACTATTTTTAAAAAGTAATCCTAAAACAGTAAATAAGATGTTAAAATGAAGTTATTAGAAAACGTGGCGTGCAATTACGTTAAGCCTGTACGATAAGTTAGGATTAGGTCAGTGAATGTAAGGGTTTGGGCAAATAAATACAGATTAAGTTTGTTCTAGCTAGGGATGAGTTAGAAGAATCAAAGTGTTGAAAAATAAAGTTAACGTGGTTGCATCGTATAGGCTGAAATTTTAAGGATATGTATTAGAGACTCTTAATCCTTTTCAAGGTCCCAAACTCCATCACTCACATTTGCTAATTCATCGAAGTCTATTAATAGTTTTTTGCATCGTATAGGCTGAAATTTTAAGGATATGTATTAGAGACTCTTAATCCTTTTCAAGGTCCCAAACTCCATCACTCACATTTGCTAATTCATCGAAGTCTATTAATAGTTTTATCGTTCGCACTGACATAATCCGATTGTAAATTAAATGAGTCCTGTGTGTGTGTTTTGACCTGCGTCAAGTCCCTGAAACTGATTCACCAACCCCTTGAGGTTCCATCAAAACCAAGTTAAGAACAACTGAGATATAACTTTAATGATGTGGATATCTGAAAACCTTTTCAGCGAGATACAGGCTGTGAGGGATTACTGGTGAGACTTCAGAACCCAGATCAACAGTGTCAGGGGTTCGGTTCCCATGTTTTTGGCTTTATACGTTGTTGTTTTTTTTCCAACTAGATAATATGTTTTCAACTCGCCTGGGTGTTTTGTTTTTAGTGGTCAACATCACAACCGACCAACACGCCTGGTTTGATTGCTACTGGCCAGAGGAGTAGCACGGGGGGCGCGGGGGGGGGGGGGGGGGGCTTGGGATGCGGACCGCAACGGGAGACACCATTTATGGGGGGGGGGGGATGACACAAAGGCAAAAAATAGCAAAATATATATAGAAAATGATAATTCAACGTAATTAAGTGATTAATTAGAGCGAGTTAAATAGTCTTTCAAGAGCAAAGTTGACAAATCCCGACAAGGGTGGGTAGAGGGGGGGGGGGGGGCTGACACCATGAAGTAAACCTGCTTACGATAGAGAGAACAGGCTACATCAAACTGTATTTATAATCCACTATAGATAAAAATCGTTAGTATTATCTAAACACGGTTTAAATCAATCGCCGTGAGCGGCGAGGGGGTGAGTTGGGGGGAGTTACATTAACTTAACGTTGCAAAATATGTCTGAGGTAAACGGTGGTGGTTCAGAATCGCAGTAACTTATGTGTTAATCCATTTATGGGGGGCGGGGGGGGGGTTGTTGGTGTAAAAATAATTAAATACATACAGAACAAATATATGTGAATAGATATACACATGCATATCACATACATACGCGAAAATTCTACAAAGTGGTCAAAAGTGAACAGTCGTATTTTCCTATATAATTTATATATTTTTTTTGTCAAAAACAGGGTAATTTCAACACAAATGTTAGGGTGCTAAACCTCTGTACATCTGGCTATTTTTTTAGCATGCACCTCTATAGCTGACTAGGCCGTATGAAAAAGTTGTTGGTCAGACTCAAACCCTCGACAAGGGATAAAAAAATGACCGCGTTTGAAATTCTTATATAAGATATTTATTAATACATCGACGAACGATCTCCCTAATATTTTGTAAGGTTGTAGGCTGACCCTGAAGGGTAACAAAAAAAACGATTCTCGTCGGAATTACCCCTTAGGGTCGTTAGATTTTTCCAGATGCTGTATTCTCTTATTTAAATAATTGTTTGTAAAAAAGTAAATAAAGACTATGTCATTTGATATAATTACAAGGGAGATAGCTTTACAAAAATAAATTTTAGATATATTTTTTTACTCTTTAAAGAAAAAACAAAAATCAAAACGTATAGTATTCGTTTAAATAGATATTTCGTTATAAATTAAGTTATGTATTGTATTGCAATTGTAAAAAAATAATTAAAAAGTGAATTTAATATAATATTTTATTTATACAATTGTTGAAGCATTTGCAGTTCTAACAACCTTACAAGTAGTTTGCGAATACTCCACAAATGTAGGCATGTCATGAAACTACTCAGGCTGTTGAAACTTAGGCCCTTAGCACTCCACATAACATTCGTTCACCAATTAATAAATGATTCCAATTTTCAAAAGTTTTATGAAAACCTAAGTGAAGCTAGGCAGTATGCCTATATATATATATATATATATATATATATATATATATATATATATATATATATATATATATATATATATATATATATATATATATATATATATATATATATATAATAGCTGAATGCAGCATGGATGCTTGTCATCGTCCTTCTATAAATGAAGGTGTGTATAGTTATAAAAATATATTTGGCATTGGAATGGGGGCTTTGGCATGTAATTTCGTTGTATTTCTTCGCATTGCAATGCTATGCAATGCATTGCATTGCATTGCATTGCTTTTTTTTTTTCTTTTTTTACAGTGAGGCTGAGAAATACGTCGAATGTCTGACTGTATATGTGATCAATAAAGCCTGCGGCCTAAAAAAATTTGAGGCCAAAGGGCTGAGAGCTGCTACAAAATCTATCATGAAGATGAAGCACTGCAAACGTAAGGTTTTACGGTTTTAGAGATATTTTCGTTATAAAGTTTACATAATTGGTTGTTTTAACAGTAATGACCTTAAAATATGATACATTCTTTGTCAGCAATAAATACAAGTGGTGGAATTTGTAATGTGAGCTCCTGCGTTTATCCCCACATCAAATCCACATCTTTCTGCCAGTGAGTCAAACTAAGCTCTTAATAAATCTTTCGAGATTTTTTTCGTCAAAAATTACACTATTTGTTAGCTTATAAGTATTATAGTAAATATATTAAAATTTCAAATAAAATACATTTATGAAGACACAATAGATTTAAGCATCACGTCTGTCACTCAGCGGCGTAGCGACCCTTCTCGGCGCCCGGGGACAAACTTTCCGATTTGAACCCCCCCCGCAAGCTTTCGATTTGCAACCCCCCCCCCCTCAAATTTATTATATGAATCCCCCTCAAGATTTCGATTTGCACCCCCCTTTCCCCCTACCTCAAACTTTCGATTTGCACCCCCTTAACCTTTCAATTTATTTTTCCTAACCATTTTGGCGCCCCCTAAGGTCGGCGCCCGGAGACTTATGTCTCCCCCCCCCCCGCTACGCTACTGCAGTGTCACTTATCGTCACAAAAAACAGACCCCCACATTTAAAAATATGTTTTTTATCTTTTAAAAACACCGAAAGCACCGATTTCGAACTATCCCTTCATATACTGACGTCACAAGTGACCTACTCAACTCTACTTCACCTGCCCAGTTTCCCGCAAAGTCTCAGACAACATGTTTTTATCGTTTAAAAAAGATTCCAGCCGAGCATGTCTCTGACCACACTATCCTTTCATATGCTTAGGACAAAGAAACAGATGAACTCTACTTCACCTGCCCTGTACCCCGTCAAGTTCAGATAGGCAACTTTATTATTCACATCTAAAAAAAAAAATTTAAAAAAAATTTCATTGTTGTATTGGTCTAGAAACTGTGCCACCCGATTTTTTTTTCTTTTTTTACAGTGAGGCTGAGAAATACGTCGAATGTCTGACTGTATATGAGAGCCGATTACACTACCAACTTAGCTATTTACTCGTGGGTGAATTTTTATACTATACTTTGATACTTTGAGTCTCCTTATGCAACTTGATTTACGCGCATAGATCTAGATCTAAGTCTAGTAGTAGTAACTTTCAAATTAAATTTTATCTTAAATTAGCTAAACAGAGATTTATATAAAAAAAGAAGGTCTGAAATTATCTAGATCTAGATAGAATTATCTAGATTCTACGACTCGTTTGCTTAAGTCTTAAGTTTAGTTTTTCTTGCTAGATCTAGAATCTAGATCTAATCATTAGCTAATAGCTACGCTAATAGGCCCTGGAGCGAGCATTTCAAAATTACCATATTCCATACAAAGATTTATATAAAATAATAAAGGTCTAAAATAGTTTAGTATATAGAAAATCATTATAATCTAAATCTAGATAAAATTATCTATATTCTAGATCTACGACTGGTTTGCTTAAGACTCGTTTTTTTTGGATTGTATTTATAACTAATAAATCTTTGATTTGACATAGATTCTAGATCTAGATCTAGATCTATAAATAACTTTCTTGGACAGATTGTAGATCTAGAAAAATTTATCGTAAAACTAAATGAAAAAGACAGTTGAAAATTGATATACTTTTGGAACGTAATAAATACAGCAAACGGACGTATTGTTAAAGTTAAAGCCGACAGAAAATTAGCTTTAGAACGCGTTAAACATTGGAATGGGAACACAATCTCCTTCGATAGGCCGCCATTATTGATGTAAAAAAAAAACAACACATCATGTGACGTCACTGTTTCCGTCGAGTGTAGTGGTTTTTCAAATCTTTTAAAAAGTAATAATTTCATTTCTCTTTTCTTTTGAAACGCGTTATAATATTTGCCACCAATGACTCAAGGAAGTCACATGATGAATTGTCAATAGGGCTTGTAAGTAGATCACCATCTTCTTGTTTTTATACTTGTCAGATAGTAGATTTTTCCAAATAAACGTAAATATGTCTTTTTTTTACATTGGTAAAACATACATTAAAAAATCCTTTCTGTTCTTGTTTAATTATTTTAAATAGTAAGCATTGGTAATGATAAACTTCACGATAGTGCCAAAAGAAATTAGAGCCTACTTAAAATTCTGTGGGTTTCAAGCAGCGTTAGATTGTTATTATTTATTCTAAAGCGTAACATGTTGCCCTAAAGCACTTAATTTGATTCTCTTTATTAGTAAAATGTTTTATAATTGTTGCATTTTTTTTGTATTTTTAATCTTGAGGTGAGACCTAGAAATAGTAGGATTTTTTTTTTTTTAAATATCAATTGAAATCATGTTTAAAATATATAATTCAGAATAATTAATTTAATTCGAAAAAAATATCTCTGTCTCGCCAACGAGATTATAAATTTAATGAGGAAGAAACAAAAAATTACAAACCTATTATGCAACGTGGTCTACCACTGGCGGTCAGTTTTCATTCACCTCGGTATTGCCGTTTAAGAAGACCAACACTATTTCCACTGTAATCTGTTTACAAGACCAGGACCTGTGCCGTATTCACGGCACTTGCTGAGCAGGGAGTATCCGCCATGCAGCGATGCGTCTGTGCTGGGAGAATCGCGTAAAGATGTAGATACGTGTTTTGTTAGAAGGTAACATTGCATTTTTGCTTTCCTGCTCTCTTTTTATAGAGACTAGTGGCTATTAAATACGGGCTAATGAATTGAAAAAAATAATAACAATTTGTAAATTGCTAATGACAACATACACATAATCAAACTGAATTTACCATTTGACCATCGCAATTTGCATTATTTCAGATTTTTCTGTTTGCATAGATTGTGTTAAATGAGCTAATAGTGTTGTAGGAAGCGAGATGGTCTAAGAAACAACTGTATGTTAGTAGTTGGCAGTAAAACATCTACTTTCACTTTCGGCTATTTCCAAACAGACGAGTAACCTATATAAACGAATACATGTCATTCAAAACAATCGCTGCTATGATTGTTGTCTTCTTACAATGGAAAGCTATTTACAAAATCACAATCTATAACACACAAAAAACACAAATATCCTAAAATAATAACACCTAATATAAAGTTATTTAGAATTGTATTATTTAATGGAAAATACATTCGTGAACGAAAATGATCAAAATTACCTTCAGTTCATAACCATAGTCAAAAAACTACTCATGCCTGCTTGGGACAATAATAACTAGTCTTTTCTTCTTTTTCGTTCTTAATTATTAGTGTTGAAGGGGATCGAGATTTATCGGCCAGTGGGTTTGAACTCGAGACTTTGTTCGAATTTATCAACCATGAGCTTTTTGCCGACTCGACCACGCCTCCAACACAATTAAGCGTTACGTGCCAACTCGTTATGCGCCATTGAGGCCATTGACTCCGATTTCAGCCTGCTTTTCTTTTTGGATTTCCATAGCCTTTTGTCCAACCAAGAACAAACTACAAGTAGTTTAATTTTGGAGTTGTCTCTCCTTGAAGAGTGGCTGTCCCCAGCTAACGAGCCTCATCTGCCCGAGGGTTCGAACTCGAGACTTTTCGGTTAAGCAACCATGAGCTTTACCGACTCGCCCACGCCGACCCCTTATTAACTAGTAAAAAAAGCAATTATAAAAAAAAAACTAGTTCATACCTGAAATATACAAACGAAGCGGCTATAACTACGAACACAGTAATCAACAACCACGACGCAAAACATAATTAATTGTTTAATTGGTGTATTTAATAATAAAAAAAATGGTTATATAGTTACCACGCTTTTACACAAAATGTTAGGTTAATTGTGTTTAAAAGGATTATTTTTTTTGAGAAAATTAAAAAAAAAACTTGTATACATACATTAAAATGAAAACAATGCAACTTTTTTAACATGTAGAATGTAGATTATATAAATGATTATTCGACATTACAACAGAGTTAATGTATTCATTGAAAAATATTTTAGAATGCTATTTCTTTTATATATATATATATATATATATATATATATATATATATATATATATATATATATATATATATATATATATATATATATATATATATATATATATATATGTATATATGTATATATGTATATATATATATATGTATATATATATATATATATATATGTATATATGTATATATGTATATATATATATATATATATATATATATATATATATATATATATATATATATATATATATATATATATATATATATATATATACCACATACAATTATTTTGAAATAATCTTAAATAATACAACTAAAAAAAAAATCTATAGCTAAGGCTTCGTATTTCATATTAGGTCTTTAGGTGCAATAAAATAGAAACAATGCATGTAAAATAATATTAAAAACTGCAATATTTATCTGAAAATAAGTACCTTGTTAACGTTACAATGACATGTAAATGAGGTAAAACAAGTCATTGACTAAATGCACGACAAAGTGCAATTAAACGTTAATAAATATAATTTAACATTCTATGTGTAGTGCTGTTTAACTGCTGTTTTTGTTAAGAGTGAAACAAGACTAGTATACTTTGAAAAAAACGGTTATAGAGAAAACAAAAAGCCCAACTCAATGTATAAAGCCAAAGGGAGGAATAGATTGACACGCACAAGCGACACTTTATTAGTAGAAATCTTGACAAGATCTGCATTACAGATACAATTATTACAAATACAATTATGTATTACAAATAAAATTATGTATTACAAATGTAATTATTTATTACAAATACTATTATTTTGCTCGTATAAAATACGTGAGTAATAATGTGTACTTTTTTAGAAACCTTGAATTAACCGTAACGTAGATAATAAAATTTATAGAAGCATGTATTAGAAGCTGACATATTATTTGAATCGAAGATACTATCAATCCTATTACCCTATTACTGAATGGCAGATTGGAAGGGTACATGAGGTAAAGATCAATTGTATTTGACGGAATTATAACCAAAACTACCATGAAAAAAACATAATAATAATGTAATTTTAATGGATTTTAAATCTTTAACTCTTTTCCCTTTAACTCTTTTCCCTAAAACTTTTAAACAAGAAATCGTTTTGATTCTTCTTGTTGATAACGTTAACTTGTAAATTATTAGTACAGAACAAATAATGATAGCAAGAGTAGGAACAACAGCTGTTATAATAATTAAAACACATTTATGATATATTTAAAAAAAAAATTATTTTCTAATGCAAAGAGTTTGTTGGGTGTCAACTAGTGTTATATTATTTCTTGTAATTTGAACCAACGTCTCAGATAAGGCGTAAGTAAATGCAATAAAATCAGGAAAATGAATAACAAAACAGCACCACAGCTCACTCTAAATGGAGAAAAAAGTTAAGAAACGCTAAATGGTAACCACACAGCAACCAACCTCTCCACTGACAGCAACACCACAAGGTCTATACTAAATGTAACGGAGAACTGAATGCAAGTGTAAATATAAGCCGTGAAAAATAGTACACTGTGTATGACATGTCATATTCTACAAGCTTGATTAGAGATGTAATTCGATATAACGATTGTGTTATTGAGTAAAACAGGTCAGATGTAGCGGGGACTACAAGTATAATATTTAATGAAGATTTGAAACCGTTTGAGATTACAATAAAAATAGTGAGAGTATTACCAATAATTCCAAACAAGCACATAAACTGAATTTAAAAAATAGCCTAGAAGTGTGTTAACGTGTTATATACGTTAGTAGGAATGTCAAACACTAAATTAGATTTAACGTTTATTGGAATTGTTGATTCATACATGTTATTAACCATCTTTAAAAAACGTTGAGCTGGAAATATATCAGTTAGAAAATATGTATAAGAGAAACTCAGATGTCCCATACCACTATCGACAAAGCAGTTGCTTCGTTTAAACACACTCCCATGTTACTATAAGATGGTGATACACTTTTTTTCTTAACATTAGAGGTCCTCCATGTTTCAATAACCAATAACTAAAGATAAAATAAAAATAAAACTATATTTAAAAAGATATTATATATATATATATATATATATATATATATATATATATATATATATATAATGAAGTGAATAGAATATATTTTAAAAAGCATTTTCTCTTAAGTGACATCATCTTATCTATTACTTATTTTGTTTTTGTTGATTTAGAAAACAAAGAAACATTTTAAGATTACATTTCCTTTGGCCATATTGTTCAATAATTTATATTATATCAATCAATTTAATTATCAGTAACTCAGAATACAATTTCACAAAATTATAAGTCATAATTATACTACGAAAACGATGTCATGAGAAAAATATACAATATGTTAAACGTTAATAATAACAAGATATGCCAAGTCTGTATTTATGATCGAACTCCTCTTAATAAGATGTAGTTTCTAACCATACACATATCCCTCATATTTGGTTAAGAGCTATAATCAACGTAAATTGCTGAAAAATTAATGTTATAAATATTTAGTTGCTCTAAAGTTTTATTATCATTTTTTTATAATAAGTAAATCCATAATTATTTTAATCTTTTTAAAAAAAAAAGTGTTTTATCTGTAAAACAATGTCATACTTTACGTTTACTATTAACTTAAATGATCACTATATAAAATAATTCATGTATTTACCCATTTGAAACTTGCAGTCCATTTGGCAGATAAAGTAGTGTCAACCTGTTTCAGTGATCTTTGCATTACATGAATTATGCTGTTTATATAGCACTTTAGTGTTAATATTAACTGATTTAACAAATATATCCAGTTAGAAGGTAAATAAATATATAATAAACCGGTAGTGATCTCCCCTAAACTTTCTCGAATATTCTTATATAAAACAACAGGGGATGGTAACTGGGGATATAGTTATGATTTTTAATCCATTTTAAATACTTAAACTTTTAAAAATAGAATAGAATCTCATAAAAAAAACATTGCGCACCAAGCAAACGCCGAATAAAAACGCGTATAATAGTGCGCAATATTATTAGTACTTTAAAAATTTACATTAGTTTTTTGAGAAATCGGAAGTAGCGTAAATTACTACTTCCAGTCAACGGAAATTACTCAAAATTTAACAGAAGGTAGAGAATTAGATCTTTTACTTACATGTGAAATTTCATTTATCTATCTGAAATAGTACTCAAGTTATAGGCTTTTGAAAAATTCAAAGTAGGAAAAGTACCACTTCCGGTTATCGGAAATCGCTCAAAAGTTGATACGGATCTACGATTTTGATAAAATACTTATATATGAAATTTCATCAACCTAGCTGTAACGGTACTCAAGTTATCGTGTTTACACACGGACAGACACACAGACACACACACACACAGACATACGGACAAGATTGCAAAATTATGTTTTTCCGTATCAGTGAGGTGTAAAACGTCGAGATTTGTAAAAATCTCGATTTTTTTTTTTTGCACGATTACAATACTTTCTCTATACTACGTATATACGAGAAAGTAAAAAAAGGTAAGTAAGGTTTTTCAGAAACTACGTTAAAGGTCGTTTATAATTTCCGTTTTAATTTTTATACATTTTTTAAAACTTCTTATAACCAATGCTAAAATTACCACATGTAACATAAACATAAGCTATCAATTAGCACTCACAATATACCTGTATT